TCAACCGGTTCGCGGGGACCGCCGCGAACCAGTTGAAACCCACCCCATCCATCTCAGGTATTCAACATGATTTATGCAGACTCACCCTTGAAAAGAACCTGGAATTGCAATTGGAGCAAAATGCATTGGCTGAGCTATTAGCAGGGCAAGGGAGAAGGACCATATGAGGCTGGACTAAAAGATCTGCTTTAGCTACCAATTGCCCACCAGGCATAACTTAAAACCCTTTGAAGTGGTGATTCCTTGACAGATGGTTCCTTCCATTGTAAATCTGCCTGGATCCACAGATCAGCAAGAGAAATCCTTCTGAAAATGCCCACTGTGTTAGGTATTTGATTATTGGGCATGGAAGAAAAGACCTTAATTTTATTTGTATTATTCAAGTTACATCTTACCAACTATCTTTTTTTATTGCTATAAACTGTCTTGAGTGATGGAAAAGACAAAATGGTGTGACATAAATTCAATAATAAATAAAATACATTCTAGGTGTTTTCTTACTTGATATACAGGTATAGGTATACAATGTGTGTGTTTTAAACAACTCGCACACAGAAAGCCTTTATTCTTTTATCTCTCTGTTTTAGGCACAGTTGAAACATCTCCGTTGCATCGCAATAGCTTGTCTACTTCTAGCAGCAAAAATCAATGAAGAAGATGAGGTAGGCATCTTTTTAAATAAGTAAAGGTTTGGACTTTGCTGAGTAACACACAATATATTATTAAATGGGCCTGATCAGTCTTCTTTGTCTTTCCCAATACAATTTTGGGGTTGTGACTCACTATGCCTCATTCCTGATTTTGGTGATGGGGGCTGGCTTCTGTCAGACTCTAGTTAGCCGAATGAGATGCTAGTTTCTAGTACACCCTTCCTTGAAAAAATCAGAAATGTACACTGTTCAAATTCTCAATTTTAAACTGTAGCTGTTTAGAGCCATGGTGACGCAGTGGTTAGAATGCAGTACTGCAGGGTAATTCACTGCTCACTCCAGGAGTTCAAGACCAACCAGCTGAAGGTTGACTCAGCCTTCCATCCTTCCNAAGTTTGGGATGATCGGAGTTTCATGAGCGGCTATGAACCAAAAGGGCGTTTCCTGGACACAGGAGAAAATGTTACCCTGACGGCAACCTTTATTGCACCCACTGCGAACGACAGCTATGCCTCCAGGTAGATGGAGGATATCAAAAATCGTGGTGGAGGATATCAAAAATCATGGTGGATATCAAAAATCGGCAAAGATGGGCATAAAGAGAGAAAAGCAAAGAGAGAATCCTAAAGATTTGTGATCCCTTTGATGAATGAAAAATGCCTGGCAGAAATTTTTTTTTCTGGATAAAGAGGAGAATATGTTGCTTAGATAGATAAGGCGAATCTAGCTAAATAACAGTGTCCTGATTAAAGGCATTTGGACTAGGGCAGTGTTGGTGAACCTGGCCAACTCCACATTTTGTGGCATGCATGTGCGTGCGAATACCAGCTGGCCGGTGCACATGCATGCACCAGAAACCAGAAGAGCAGCCACCCAGTGCGCATGAGCGTCCCTGGAAGATGATGTCCCAGTCACCCGCTCTTCCAGTTTCTGGCACACATGCATGCGCAAAGACCAGCTGGCTTGTGTGCATGCACGTGCCGGAAACCGGACGATCATCTTCCCGGTGTGAGTATGTGCCTTGAGCGGTTGCTCTTCCGGGTTTCTGGCACTCCCACGTGCATGAAGACCAGCTGGTCGGTCTGCCGGAAGCCGGAAGAGCACCAGACGACAGCTTGCATGCCCAGAGAGATAGCTCTGCGTGCCACTTCTGGCACACGTGCTATAGGTTCACCATCACGGGACTAGGGGAAACCTGAATTCTACTTTTATCCTAGGCACAGAACTAGCTGGAGGACTTTAAGCCCCTTCCTCTCTCTCAGCCTCAGGAAGAAGAAGGCAAAGGGATCCATTTCTGAAAACTGTTGGAAGTCTTGTAGTCCAACCTCCTGCTCAAGCAGGAGACCCTGTAACATTTCAGACATGAGACTGCCCAGTCTCTTCTTAAAAGCCTCCAGTGATGGAACACCCACAACCTCTGGAGGCAAGCTGCCCCACTGGTTAATTAAACTCATTAATTAATGTGTCAAGGCACAAACCCAAATTTTAATATAATATTTTTAAAAAGTTTTTTGAAAGAATAGAATACTTCTGGAGGCAAGTTGTTCCACTTGTTGTAACTGTCAGGAAATTTTGTCCTCCGTTCTAGGTTGCTTCTCACCTTAGTTAGTTTCCATCCATTGCTTCGTGTCCTACCTTCAGGTACTTTGGAGAACAGCTTGATTCCCTCTTCCTTGTGTAATAATGCAGCAGAGTGGAGCAGGATTGCAGAAGGAAGAAAACGTACAGTTTGCTGTTTAATGAATCCACAAATGTTGTTTTTTTTTTCCCCAGCGTTGTGACCTTCACTGCTAGCAGCGGTTCTGCTCAGAANCTAAATAACAGTGTCCTGATTAAAGGCATTTGGACTAGGGCAGTGTTGGTGAACCTGGCCAACTCCACATTTTGTGGCATGCATGTGCGTGCGAACACCAGCTGGCTGGTGCACATGCATTCACCAGAAACCAGAAGAGCAGCCACCCAATGCGCATGAGCGTCCCTGGAAGATGATGTCCCAGTCACCTGCTCTTCCAGTTTCTGGCACACATGCATGCGCAAAGACCAGCTGGCTTGTGTGCATGCACGAGCCGGAAACCGGAAGATCATCTTCCCGGTGCGTGTATGTGCCTTGGGCGGTTGCTCTTTCATGTTTCTGGTGCTCCCGCGTGCATGAAGACCAGCTGGACGGTCTGCCGGAAGCTGGAAGAGCACCAGGCGACAGCTTGTATCCCCAGAGAGATAGCTCTGCGTGCCACTTCTGGCACACGTGCTATAGGTTCACCATCACGGGACTAGGGGAAACCTGAATTCTACTTTTACCCTAGGCACAGAACTAGCTGGGGGACTTTAAGCCCCTTCCTCTCTCTCAGCCTCAGGAAGAAGAAGGCAAAGTGATCCATTTCTGAAAACTGTTGGAGGTCTTGTAGTCCAACCTCCTGCTCAAGCAGGTGACCCTGTACCATTTCAGACGAGAGACTGCCCAATCTCTTCTTAAAAGCCTCCAGTGATGGAACACCCACAACCTCTGGAGGCAAGCTGCCCCACTGGTTAATTAAACTCATTAATCAATGTGTCAAGGCACAAACCCAAATTTTAATATAATACTTTTAAAAAGTTTTTTGAAAGAATAGAATACTTCTGGAGGCAAGTTGTTCCACTTGTTCTAACTGTCAGGAAATTTTGTCCTCTGTTCTAGGTTGCTTCTCACCTTAGTTAGTTTCCATCCATTGGTTCGTGTCCTACCTTCAGGTACTTTGGAGAACAGCTTGATTCCCTTTTCTTTGTGTAATAATGCAGCAGAGTGGAGCAGGATTGCAGAAGGAAGAAAATGTACGGTTTGTTGTTAATGAATCCACAAATGTTTTTTTTTTCCCCAGCGTTGTGACCTTCACTGCTAGCAGCGGTTCTGCTCAGAATTACCTGAAACTTCCCATCAGCGTCGTTCCTGAAACAGCTTTGGTAAGCCTGAAATTTTATTCACAGCACTCCTTCCTTACTTAATCCCCTGGGAATACTTCTGTTCTTCATCTCCATGCTCTCATGATCAAAATTTGGCTGCTTGGCAACTGACTCATGTTTATGACGGTCACAGTGTCCTAGGGCCATGTGGTCACTTTTTGCAATCTTCTGATAAGCAAAGTCAATGGGGAAACCAGATTCATTTAACAATCATGTTACTAACTAAACAACTGCAGTGATTCGCTTAACAAATGTAGCAAGGAATGTCGTAAAATGGGGCAAA